TTCACCCCAAAAAATGACGAATAAATGGGCATTCTATAATAACTAATGACGTTTCATTAAACACGATTTTACCTGTGCTTTGAGCAGCAAAAGTACCCTCCGATAGTAACACACGTGTTGTGAGTTTGTTGGTCGGTTGGTTCGTTGTTTAACGCCGCACTCAGCAATATTCCAGCTATATGACGGCGGTCTGTAAATAATCGAGTCTGGACAGACAATCCAGTGATTACTATCATGAGCATCGATCCACGCAATTGGGATCGATGACATGCATCAATCAAATCAGCGAGCCTGACCACACGATCCCGTTATTCGCCTCTGACGACCCCGTTAGTCGCCTTTAACAGCAAGCATGGGTCCTGAAGACATATTCTACCCCGGATCTTCACGGGTGTTGTGAGTTTGGCCGCACACCTGCACGTGCACTTGGATAGTAATAGAAGGCTCCATCCTGCTGTGGACTCGCTAACACTTTACCTTCCGGGCCTACAGCGTGCAAGCACAGTTCGATCAATAACGCATTACATATCTGACAAAAGTCAACTTTCCACGTACGCCCTTAGGCGTAGTACGTACAATTACCTCACGTATACATTGTCAGAATGTTATTTGAAATAAATGTCAGACGAGTAAAAGACACATCGGTCAATAGTTGGATAAAACATTTTGACACTTGTGTCTGAGAAACTTACACACGGACTGCAACATGAATCAGATCGCCAGAGGGTTAAAACATGTTTCCATAGTCTGTATAACACATTGACGATATGTCGTTGTAATGGTTGAGTCAATACAAAAATATCCCGTTTGCATCAAGATGTTAAAAACTTTCTTCTTACATCCATTACATCGCAAGGGAAATTGTTTACAATCACAATATATGTAACAATTGCTATTCGTTATGAAGAAGAGTTTTGCTTTTGAAGCAGGGTTAATAACCGCCAACCATTATGATCCATTAAATCACGTCAAAGACTTTTTTCAGTTTAAAATCTTTTAGATCCATACTTGGCTTTCTACAGCAGATAGGAGCACTATGCATGCGATATTATATTATACCATGTTTGCGCGCTTTTTCCGCTTTTCTCTATCCACAAACGATCCTTTGTACGAGGGATGTTCTTCTCCATCTTCGCACCACCCTCCATCTCCAGAGACCCGACCCCCATGAACCACCCCAACACTCCAGACTTCAGTCTCCCTCTACGCCGGGGCGGTTGGGTAACCTATTGGTTAAAGTGTTCGCTCGTCACGCCGAAGACCCATGATAATTTCCCACATGGATACAATGTGTGGAGCCTATTTTGGGTGTCAAGCGCCGTGATATTGCTGGAATATTAGTAAAAGCGGCGTGAAACCATACCACTCCATCACACCACCCCGACAAAATACCACAAACCCCCCAAACCAAACCATCCACTTCCCATCCACATCCAGCCCCACCCCCACCCCTTAGCCCCACCCCCACCCTCCACAGACCAAAACACAGAATGAAACATGACAGTAGTATTTTATTAACCTCGTTGCAAAATGGTGACATGCTATTGGAGTGTGGACACACGGAGAGATCACACATGGACACACACGATCACACATTGATACACATGGAGTCAGATGCTGACGATGGTGCTATGGACGGCATCAGGAGTTTGCATAGTAACGGGGATGCTGGGGAAATCGAGGAATGTCCTGGTGTAACAGCCTCATTCCCATAACATTACATTCGTCTACAGGGAAGGATTTACGATATTACCTCTGTTGTTTTAGTCTCATGACATTGAGTTATCATGTAAGAACAAGATTCATATGATTCCTTAATGAAATATTCTTGGCGTCCTTCCAGAACGCAATCTAGGGGCTAAAATATTGTACCTGCCTTTGATATAAGAACGGCAGACACAGTAATGGGATGAATGTGAGGAATTTGGGCTTTCGAAATTCCAGACTAATGAAATAAATATATTATCAATTCTTCTAATGTTTGTTGCTAGGTTGTCTCTGTAATTCCAGTTTGTTTAGTGGCAATATTGCATTGCAGGTTATACCTCGATTCCCCCAGTGTTTTAGCATTCAGTCAACTGCATCCTCCCACGGACACCCTAACAAGAGTAGCACCGCGGGTACATGACTGACTTGAACACACCCCAGTCCGGGTAGGAAGACACCCGGTGGTCGTATTGTGCGTAACGCTAGAGATGTAAGGAGCATGAGAGTGCATAATATTCGTGCATTGCTTTCAGTGCGGCCAGTCTCGCCCAAACACGCAGCACCTTGGGCGCGAGACAACCGTGAGGGCACAAGGGGAGACAACTCACACTACTGGTGATTAAGGAACCATTTCCATTATATTTACGGTAATACTATTTTGGCACTTGATTATTGCTCATAGTATAACAGACCATTCATAATAGCGACATTACATTCAAACCTCAATTCTTATCTTATTAGCTATACTGTTTCAATAGCTTTGGATGTAACTACCGGCAGTTATACTATAATCATATTTACGGTAATACTAAACGCCGATCACAAAAAGTAACCAGGTAAACTGTTCTGCATGGAATACAGTAACTAAACATGATAAATAAAAGCAATAAAACCATTTCCATAGCCACAAGAAATCTCTGCTTAAAGAAGAGCCGATTGTACGATTCCGACTATATCATGAGCATGTGTTTATGAATCACAAATAGTGATGATACAAGATGTTCGCAAAAAGGTGGAAAATGTAGGGAACATACTCTCTATGTGTACCGTATCGACTCCGGATACTAGGAACTCGGATAAACCGAACGTCGGCTATCTGGTTGAAGGAAATGTTCATATGAACAACTGATTTCAGATAGCGGTGTCGAACAAGTAAAATTTGTTAATTACGTTTATAACGAGCACGCTTATAACGAATTTACCGATATAACGAACTTTTTTAGTCCTGTCATATTTTAAACATATTCTTTCTCTCTATATGCTTATACCGAACTACGGTTATTACGAACTAAAATTAGTGGTCCCTTTGAGTTCGTTATAACCGTAGTTTACTAAGTTTACTAGCTTGACATCGGTATAAGGATCTATACCGAAACGTCGCCCTAACAGCAAGCAAAGAGCAAAGACGTTGCTATCCATAAATCTACTTTTTAATATTTTCCAATGTCGAATTTCCAAGTCACACACAAGGACATTCGTAACACTACCAGTCAGAAACGAGACCACGAAAACGATACCTGATTATTGAACTGCAAATTTAAGACTTCCCTGATTAATGGTTATGTTTGAAATGTATTCCCTGAACACGTCTTGACGTGGAGGAAAGCGAGTTTGTTCCCCGTTGTGCTGAATCTCACCGCAAGCCCTGCCCCACGGTGGAGTGCATCGTCCATACAGAACCTATCTTTGGTGAAAAAAAAATCGAGTCCAAGGGCTTCTTCAGCATCTCACCTACAGATCAATGATATGAATGCGGAGGTGAAACTTACATTGAAAATACTGATAATTGTAATTAACGTGGAATTGTATGGAAAAACAAGGTTTAGTTTTATTCACATATACAGCCATATAAGTCACATAAAAAGCCCTTGTGTTTCACCATAGATTAACCGTATTTGTGTCACCTTCCGATTTGCAAAACGATTATTACGACTCTTATTCAATACTAATAGTTTTATTTCAAAATATTAAATAAAATAAATCTGTCCTCACGACCCAATTTAGTAAAAATAATACGGCATACTATAAAGTGTATCGTAATCCAATTAGTCCTATATCCCAGACTCGGGATTATTTTACTATTAGTAATGGAAATTACCAAACGATACCTTAAACCTGCATAACGTATTTCGTCCTCTGTACCTGTATGAACGTCGTAGCTGGCGACTTGAAAAGCGAAACTCACTTCTTATATTTTGTTTAATAACTTTTTTATACTTCGATGGATGTATGACACAATTCCATTTAGTACGTGTGACGTCATGTTTACACTGACAGCCATACAACAACCAACAGTTACGTTAAATATAATAGTTCACCAAAGAGAGCTTATTTGAACGTATGAATGCTCAAATTGCTCTTCAGGAACATCTTTTGAAGTTTAGTTCCAACAAACACAGATTCAAATGTCACCATTAGATGAAAAAGGTCTCTTAAGAACTGTCTCAGAAGGTCGCTCACAGTAACAGCGCGTCGTTATGCATTTACGTCAAACTCAGAACGTCAAAATGGCGACAAGAAAAACGTGACGGGGGAGATTTCTAAAGTTGGCCATAAACCTGTGGAGATTACAAGTGTCAGTCATCATTGATCAGTTGGCCGAGCATTGAAAGGTGTTTTTAAAGATGTGTCAAATAGATACTAAGGTAACTCTGTAGTTTGCTGTGGAGTGTCACTTGACACGGATCGAGTCCATAGTTTGATTGTACATTCCTTGTATTTCCTTCACTGTTCGTAGCGAGAATATTCTTGAACGGGCATGCAGTTAAACTCAAGTTCAAGATTAATGGTCTAAATTTCAAGAAAAGATCTCGTGAAAAAAGTATGAACGTCAAAATATGAAGTTCAAGCATTTATGAGTCATGTCACTAAAAAAGGTATATGTCGTGTAAACGTCACATTAAACCTTTTTCAGCTATAACATTTCATATTTTAGTGTTTGATAATATAACAGCTGACTTGATTAGTTTCCTGAAAACTCGTTGCTGAACAGACGGAATATTGCCGATTCAGCGTTAAATCTTAACACACACACTCACTCACTCACTCACTCACTCACTCACTCAATTGATGACAATATGCCACCTATGATTTTTGTTTGTGTTTATCACAGTGTAACTCAAGATGGAAAGTAGTTTCAACATACTGTGTTTTCACTAAGTCAATAGGTCGTTGGGGAAGTGGTTAAAGTGTTCTATCAAGGGACGGTCGGGTAGCCTAGTGGTTAAAGCGTTCGCTCGTCACACCGAAGACCCGGGTTCGATTCCCGACATGGGTACAATGTGTGAAGCCCCTTTCCGGTGTCCCCCGCCGTGATATTGCTGGAATATTGCTAAATATGGCGTAAAATCATACTCACTCATTAAAGTGTTCTATCGATAAACCGTAGACCAGAATACAGTGTGTGAAGCCTATTCTCGGTGTCTATTGCTGGAATATTGCTAAAACCGGCGTAAATCCTTCTCACTCACTCACTCACTGCTTGGTTTCCTGGTTTCTTTTAAACAATTATTTGAAACTAAATTCAAACTGGATCTGTGATCCGATGCTGAAGAAGCTCCAAGGACACGTGAAAATACATACAGAACAATATAAAACGTGCTGCTATGTACATATGTTAATATTGGTCGCCCTGCTGCCTTGGAGAGACGTGTACATCACAGTTCCTGGTGATTGATATGTGTTCGGAGAAAATGGTAAAACATAATGACTTCAAGGTAACATATGTACAACGTTATAGATGCGTGACTCGAGACATATCGACGTGGTGCAGGACATTAGAGAGAGAAAAGGAATCGGAGTCTGCTTCGTCCTCCACCGGAAGTATCGAGTGATTAGGTGAGTTGGGCGGCCGGAAGTGCCCCCCCTCGCCAATCCCACTGCTACTCCTGTCGGACCAGTTCACTTCAAGCTGGTCATTACCAGACCTTCGGTCACTATCGCTGAAATAAGATTTCCCAGAATTCCTTTGCATATTAGTGACGTCATTCCTGTCATCTGGTTGATGTACGGAGGCTTTATGTATTATCACAGACACGTGCTTAGTAATGCAATTTGCTCGGCCAACCTCAACGTCCGAGTCTCCGTTCAACTCATCACACTCCAACGACGACGACTGTAGTGGATGGTTCTGCACCTCTTTCAGCGACGGGGTAGATCCGACACACAACCTACTGCCTTCATCAACAGAATCAAACAAACGTAATTCCTCCTTAGTTGCTAAGGGATGCCGCGCACGTATATTGACGTCACTTCCGCGCTCATCCTTCCATCGAACACTGCACTTACTCTCGGTTGACCTAACGAGCTGTTTGCAGTGTTCTCTTACCAAAGCAATGACTTTAGTTTTATCCATGTCGGGGATGTACGCGGGGTTGTCGAAGCATGATGAAGACAAATGAGAATTATCCGCAGTTTCTGAGAATATATCGGTCACATTTCCACAACTCCTAGAGATCCGCTTTGTCTCCAGGTATTTTGCAGACACAACATCATCACACGGAGCCTCCTGCTTCACTGACTCTTCCTTCGGTGTAATGTTGGGCAGCGAGGAAGTCTTGACCCACGTATCCCCAGTCGGAAATAGTTTTAACTTGATCTTCTCCTGCACTTCCTCCTGGTATTTGCGGGACAGCATGTTAGTCCTCTTCTGCCACCGACGGCTGATCTCCGGAGTCAGCAGTAAAGCGGGTGTGCTGATGCTTAGCGCTTTAAACAACGTCTTCTTTATTGAATTACTCCGCGGGCGTTCACCATTAATATTTGGCAACGGAACTTCTATACCCCGAAAATAATTCTTCCTCAGCTCGTTTATGATTATCTCATATAATTCCTCTTTGGGTAATTTCAATGTTTTTTCTTGTTCAATATTTACATATTTATCAATTATTTCACAATAGAGAACACCTGCAATTATCATAATGAATAATCCGCATCCCATGAATATAGGACCCAGATATGATAGAGCCTTGATGCCTGGATGTCGATACATGGTGTACCTCAATGTCACACTGCCCTCTGTCGTGGTCACTGTGTGATTACCACGGGGATCGTGTCCATCTGCAAACATAGGGTGGTAACCCACCAGTGACATGGCAGCGCCACCTAGTAACACCACCAAGCCGAAAAGACAGGAAGCACAAGTTGGCAAGAGACAAGGCATGCGTAGATGCTCCTTTAGTTTCAACTTCCGCCTAGCTGCCCTTTGCCTCCTGGCAGCGCCACGTCTCCGGCGCCCGGGTGCGGGGACGCCAGTGAGGCGAACTCTCGCGTGCGGCACAAACATTGTTGGCGCTGAACGTGCTTACACACGAGAAGGTCACAATGACCTCTTCATGGAATAAGATACTTTGTCCACATTTCCGTCCACATGTCTTCGCCGGGCACTCCACGGCCGTCCCACGTGACTTGCCACCACGTCACTTCCGGTCTTTGAATGTCACTCATATCCACCTGAAGAGAAAGAGAACATCAATATACACGTTCAGCCTGGTACAATCTATACGAACAATGAAATGTTTATGGTACAATGTGTTTGTAAAATTGCTATTGACGTATACTATAAAATATGGCCTGGCAGGTTCTTTTGTGTGAATCATATTGTTCAAAATTAGACAGGCATTAAATCGAAGCTGTCTGGGGCTAACATGATTACTCTGCTGTTCTTGGCACAATGCCGGTAAAACTACGATTGCAATTTTCTGCTCGAAATAAGAGTATTTAAATGACCGCCATATTAGTCTATTCAGTGGTCTTCACGGCTTGTTAGGTCAACACGTTTTGGTGAAACGTTTCGACGTCCGTAAATACTCATTTATATAACCTGTGGAAGAAAATCGGTATGGAACGATGCAGGTATGTCTCAAATCAAAGTGCCATTATCCAGTGACTAGAGAAACATTGATCCCAACACAATAGGTAAAGACTGACGCTGTCCTCGCTCCGGCGCAATATTTCCTGGTGTTAATGAGTCAGACAGATCTCTCTCTCTCTCTTTCTTTCTTTCTCTCTCTCTCTCCTTTTCAATTGCGCGCTCTCTCTCTCCTTCTGAATTCGAATGGCTCTGCCTCTCTCCCTTTCTTCCTCCTCAATTTCTCTCTCTCTCTCAACTATTAATTGTTTTTATTGACTTGCATTCGCGCAGAGAAACACACAGACAGACCTCATTCTGTCTCCTCTGTCTCCGCCCCTATTTGCACAAATAATAAATTAACTCCACATCCACACCAATACGCTTACATACTTTAATGCTCAGGCTTGCTTGATTCGTACAATTCAATTGGTCCAATCTCTCTCCCACCATCTATCACTCCCTCTCTCCTCTCTGTCTTTCCCTCCCCCTACCCCCTCTCTCTCTCCTTTTCAATTGAGCTCTCTCTCCTTCTGAATGGCACTCTCTCTCCCTTTCTTCCTCCTCAATTTCCCTCTTTTTTTTTCTCTCTCTCTCTCTCTCCTTTTCAATTGCGCTCTCTCTCCTCCTGAATGGCTCTCCCTCTCTTCCTCCTCAATTTCCCTCTTTTTTTTTTCTCTCTCTCTCTCTCCTTTTCAGTTGCGCTCTCTCTCTCCTTCTGAATGGCTCTCCATTTCTTCCTCCTCAATTCCTCTCGCTCTTTCTCTCTCACACCATTGGTACCCTGGCGCCCGAGGGTAGTCTAGACCGGAAATGGGTATTTGGAGGATGTTCACACACGCCTGATATACCACAGAATGGCGGATATATGTTCGATAACCACTGATGCGTTGTTTGTATAATGGAGCTAAATCGCCGAAAATTTGTTATCATATAAGATCAATTGCAAATGTGTCGGACTCTGGAACATAACCATGCTCCTTTTAGACAGTATATTGACAAAAGTAGTGTTTCATTAATGGTGCGAAAACAAGAAATCACCATCTCTTAACCACTACAAGGATTGTCACTCTATATTTCTACTTCTGATGAAAAGTCTTTGAATCATATCAAATCAAACAGCAGTCCAATTTGATAAAGGGCAGATATGACTAATTAGTTGAGACCGATTGGCCTTTTCACGGCCCAAGCAATCATACATCTAATATCCGTTGATGAACACAAAGGAAGCATATTGTTCCGTGGAGTACCGGGAGAGGCGGTCTGCGGAAGGAGAGCGTACGTGGAGCGAGGAAGCATAAGAGATGGCGGTGAGGTGAAATGGGGTTTAACGTCGCGTCCAAGATTATTGCACAAATATAGCGACGTGCATGCACTTGTGTGTGTGTCTGCTTGAACTAGTCCGGACTAATGCCGATTTATAGTTCTAGCACACTCAGATACCATGCCGCAGTTTAACATGAATACCCCACTCAGACACAGTATACTGACTCCGAGCCGACCAGTCCTTGTTTTAGCCCCTTTATTCCGAGCGCCAGACAGGGTAACAACACGTAGGAGATGGTGGGTAAAGGGGCTGTGTGAAACAACATATGGAAACGGGTACATACCTGAGTTCTGTTGCACAAGAGCTACGGCTGTGGTTTAATATGACAACGTAGATTGGGCTCTGAACGAAACGTACAAGAATTTTCGCTCACGTCTTTTCACAGTGGTAAACGATATTGTAGCAGACTATGACAACTAAATTTTGTAGCCAGGCATCAGAATGTATGGTGCAAGGCATATCTAAGTTGTTGTTATGCTACATGGGACTTATTGACCTGTTCGTTGAGTCACAGTTCACAAATGGACACGTTTCAGTCAGTGACGGGCTGATAATCGACTTCGAGTCGGGGGTGCCCTACTCCTTCGCATCGAAATGGACAAAACCGAATATTGCCCGGCCATCAGGTTTTTACTCTCTTGCTTTTTTTAGTTTGTTCTTTAACGCCGCATTCAGCAATATTCCAGCTAAATCTGGACTTGAAGATCCAGTGACTGAAATCATGAGCATCGATCCACGAACTCGGGAATCGTTGACATGCATCAACCAAACCAGTGAGCCTGACCACCCGATCTCGTTAGTCGCCTCTTCCGACAAGCATAGTCGCCTTTTACAGCACGTATAGGTTGCTGAAGACCTATTCTACCCCGGATCTTCACGGGTGGTTTTTACACTTTAGGACCAATCACGAAAAAACATTGGATGACCGGTTGCATGCTGTGTATGGGTATGCTGTCCCATATGCTATAACTACACGTTGGGTGAAAGAATTTTAGCGTAGGAGAGAGTCTAGAAGATGACCCTGCTCTGGTCGACCGCAACCAGCACCACAAAAGAAAGCGTTGATGCCGTCCACGTGATACTGAACAATGGATGCATTACACTCCATGAGTTAGAGGAGAACACATGATTCCCCTGTGGGTCAATAGAAACAATCTTTCCTGAACATCTATAACTTCAAAGGTTGTGCCCAATGGGTTCCTAGAATGATGAAATTAGGGCTATGCGGTAACCACCTCTAATGCCCCGTTAACCAGATACAATCTCAACAGGCTAGTAACAGGTAGTTAGAACTGGATCCTTTACTTTGAACCCGACTGCAAACACAGATCTATGGAGTGGAAGTAAATCGGGTCTCCAAAACCAAGAAGTTTAAAGCAACCGGATCCACTTAGAAAGTTATGGCCACCTTCTTTGGGGACAGCAAAGACATTATAAATAAAGAGATTGCGAGGGAAGCGCGTGTAAAACCACGAGTAGTAAAACCACGAGTAGTAAAACCACGAGTAGTAAAACCACGAGTAGTAAAACCACGAGGTGTCGTTCTCCATCATGTTTATGTCACGGCATGTTCCAATGGCTGTTGTACGTGAAAGTAGACACGAGTTTCACCCCATCCACCTTTTTACCAAAAATGACCCCCGGTGACTACCACCTGTTTTGAAATTTGAAAAAATAATTTGTGTGATCAGAGATTTAACAAGGACCCAGAATTGACTGTTGCTGTGGCTGGTTGCTTGACAGACCACTCTGTACACACACGTTGTACAGCAAGTTGTACTCACTGTAATACATGTACAACACATTGCACGTACTAGTCATTCGACATGTGTAAGAGATGTACAACAATTTTCGCTGACTAGGCATTCAAAACGTGTAAGAGATGTACAACAATTTTCGCTGACTAGGCATTCAAAACGTGTAAGGGATGTACAACAATTTTCGCTGACTTGTCATCCAAGCCGTGTAAGGTTATAATAATTTTCGCTGACTTGTCATTCAAGCCTTGTAAGGGATGTACAACAATTTTCGCTGACTAGTCATTCAAGACGTGTTAGGGATGTACAACAATTTTCGCTGACTAGTCATTAGTGAGTGAGTGAGTGAGTTGGGTTTAACGCCGCTTTTAACATTATTCCAGTTATATCGCGGCGTGTCAGCTTAATGTGGGAGGAAAGCCCGAAGTGATGCAGGTCCCAGACGTTTATCACTTCGGTGAAACCCACGAGCACCGGTATGGTGCTGACAAACCTAGAAACATAATTTGGGCGAACTGGGATTCGAACCCACAATCATAGGTTTCTGGCGTGCCCAAGGGACGCAACTCTGCACAGCGAATCGCGGCGCCTTAGACGACTGGGCCACCCGTGCCCCCGACTAGTCATTAGAAACGTGTTCGATGTGCACAACAGACTGACGACTAGCCACAGTACACATGCACTGGTGTTGGCGGACAGAGAATGTCAGGCATCCAATCCTGTCTTAACCTTCAATACTTCTCTCGTCAGTTTCTAATTTTCTCAGGCACGGTTTCAAGGTCACGTGATAGCGGATTGATCTGCATGAAGTTCCTAAACGTGACCGCTGCATTAGGCCTCGAAACAATCCGCGTTAAAAAGTAATTACTCTATAAGTACATCAACCCCTTTAATTTGATAAAAGGTTATGCGTGGACTATCTATTCCAGTTTCACAGGGCCGATATACCTCTGTGCACTCCTTCGTCTCAGTTCCCGCTGGAAGACGTGACGAGGCGAGATCTGGATCCATCTTATTCAAGAAGAGGGAAAGGTGTGACTGGCTCACAAGCATGTATTAGTAATCAATAATGTCGTTACATTACTGGTATTTCACAAGGTGCCGAGATCATCTGGCCATCCTCATCAAACAGTCTGTTTGCAAGGAAATATTGTGGCTTGTGTGAGATCTCGCGAGATTGGATTTGCCCTGAGCACATTTCCCGTCCGTTGAGCACTCTGCTAGGTATATATGTTTGGCAGTAGATCATAGGTACACAACACAACGTTGACAATTACTTCGGTGTATTGCCCCTTTATGTAACCAGGACGACTGATCAAATAAAGAAATAATGTCGGCACAAGTCGCTCGCAGCCATCTGATTACCCGTTTCTAATGGAAGTAGATTGCTGGAGACTCTAGAGGCCTATCTGATGGTTAGATATCAATAGGGGAGATTCACGGGTTTCAAATGTTCTTCAATGTCTGCCAGAAAACACAATATCAATATCAGAAACGTATTATTCAATGGAATTTCCAT